CGCCGCGCTCCCTCCCGCGGCCGCAAGGAAAAACACACACACACAAAACACAAAAAAGGCGCCTTCCGTTTGACAGCGACCGTTTTACACCGTGGGCAGTTACACGGTTTCAGTTAGCCCGACACAAAGTAAAAACATGAGCAAGGCCCTTACAAAAACACCGTGCACGAAGCACCGCGCTCCGCCAGAGCGAGGAGGAGGCTCCTCTGCTCCCGCACAAAGGCAAAGTCCGTAAATCCTAAAACCCAGACCCTAAAACAGAGACTGCTGGTAAGAACACATGGAAAGAGCTGCCCTGCAGCAGGAGGCTTCTCACTCCATGTTCAAAAAGCAAAAAACAGCGGTGCCCTTTGAAACACACACAAATTTCACCCTGTTGTTTTGTCTCTGGTGCCTCAGATGTGCGTTTGGGGCTTGCTCTTCTCCGGAGGTGGCCAGGGAAAGCTGATGGAAAATCCAAGCACGGCAGCAGCAAAATGGACGTTTCTAAGGCTTCGTCTCCGCGCGATGTGTGGCTACACGGCTCCTCCGTTCCCCATGTTGTCTTCCAGCCCTGGCCTTTCCACGTGCCCGTCCTTGCGTTCAACCCTTAGTGTCCACAGTACATTTTGACCGCCTAGCTACTTACTCATCCTGCTTATCAACGCCTCCTACTAATTATACTAATTAATCTTCATAGTCCTCCAGCCCTAGGGGCAGGACACACCTCAGTGCATGATTTTTCAGTGTGTAGTTAAAGGTGAGCTAAGACAAATCTAAGACAATTAAGGTCTGCTTGAAACTATTAGAGGTCTTTTAGCTTGGTAAGTTCAAACTCGGTGCTGAAAGAAACCTGCGCAGGGCAAACACCCCCATTTATCCTCAGGACATAAATAAATATAACCGTAAAACTTCTCCCAGGTTGCACAAAAGACCTAGGTTTGTAGTGGTTACAAAAATACTCTCTCTAGATGTGTAACAGCAGATTAATGGTATGTCAGTGCTCTTTGAAGGAGCAGGTCACAGGTTAATGCACTCTAGGTCAGGGAAAGATCCCACAAGACTTTTCCCTGCTAGTGATTCACCATTTAAGGATCTCACATTGCATATGAAGTCGGAGTCCACTGCTTCCCCCAAGCATCAGCCCTGCCATTAGTCATAATTTTCTGCAAAAAGACCGACTTTGGACTAGATCATAAGGCAACTTTTCCAGCACAAATCCTTTCATAAAGGTACTCATCCAGTGGAACGTATTTCCCCAACTTTAGATCCAGAAAATGTAATCGATCTGATGTTTGATGGGGGTCAAATCCTTCCCTCTGTAAGCGAGTTTTCTGAATCTTAAATGTGCCTTTAAAGAGAAAAAAAAACTAATTAGCATCAAAAAATCTGTTTAAACACTGAGGAAGAGACATCCTAGCTGGCATTTCATTTCTATTCTATACTTTTGTCTGAGAATTAACAGTTTATCGATGCTTGTAACTAAACGGTTTGTTATTCAGTTATATGAATCCTGTGTAGCTTTTACTACTTACATACAAGCTGAGAAGATGAGTGTTCAGATTCCTGAGAAACTAAAACCACAAAAAAAGCAGCTAAATCATACTAAAACCAAAAAAAAAAAAAAAGGCAGCCAAATCATTAGCTGGTTGAGTGGTTGATATGGTCTTAGCCTGGGGTAGATGTTAGGCTGTTAGCTAAGACTATGTGCATACACAGTGGCTAGATTACAGTCCAACAACAGCATGTGAAAGAGTTAAAGTGATCAGGGGCTTCTTTACCCATTTGTTCAACAACCCTTTCCTCATACTCTTCAATTTACTTCACAGCTACCCAGATAGTATTTCCACGAGCTTCACTGTTGGGGAAAGGCCCCCGTTGACCCGTACAAATAACATGCCCACACTGGCACAGATCTGACAGGAATTATTCCAAAAGACAAAGGCTTCTTTTTTTTTTTTTCCTCCCTATAGAGGTCTTCTCTATTAATGAGTTGGAAATACCTAATTTCTTGTTTAAGACTCAGCTACAGTCATTATTTTTATCAATGGTGACTATGCTCCTGGTAAACGAGAAGTTATGTTCTGTATTTCAGGGATTGTGTGATGAAATCCCTGAAAGGGCAGCACAGGACAGCAGCCAACCCGTCAAAACAGTGTCCAGCCTGAGTGTTTCTCAACCTTTTGCAATACAACACTGACACTTCCCATTTCCTTTTGGATCTCAGCATTCCCAGAGCTATTAAAGAGAACAGTTCACATATGAAACACTAGTACCTGTGGTGTCAACCTGGGGTAAGAAACGGAGGAAGATGGGCCGGGCATAGGGAGGCAACACCTTTTGTAGCTCCTGATACAAAACATTGGGATTCACTTTAGCTTCAGGATCTGCGATTGCTGCCATTCCAGCTTTTCCCTCCACCCCTGAAACAAAACAAGCAAAGGAGCAAGGTTAAGCATGAAATATTTAACAGATTCAAGCACAGCTGTTTCACCCTTTTGTCTTCATTTTGAAGCAAAGTGCAGTGTGCTGGAGAGAGCTGCATGCTGTAATTAAACACGTATATATATATTAAGGAACAAATAGCTACAAATCATATACTAAAGGATGAATCAGGACTGACTTGTACCATATAGCAGATGAAAAACTCAGAATACACAATAGGAAAAAAAGAAGGTTGTCTAAACTACTTACCTTCCTCCAAATAAAGACTCCACTTCTGGCAACACAGATCACTAGAGGGTGTCAGGTTATTTCTACTGCTCAGAACAGCAGCCATGCCAACCTCCCTTGTCAGTCTCTATTTTATCTTATCATTTTTGGGCACCCAATTTTAGTAGAGGTGACTGATTTCTACCTGCTTTGCCTCTAGTACAATTGAAATCTAGCATATTTGCCTAATATTTCATTTCTCCCTAAACTTGGAGAGCTCGGACTCCGTGTTTTACCTGGGACTTCCACACCATACACTGCAACGTCTGTCTGGTTGAGGATGTGGCTCAGAATTCCTTCTACTTCTGTGGTGGAGACGTTCTCTCCTCGCCATCGGAAGGTGTCCCCGCTGCGATCTCGGAAGTACATGTAACCCAGCTCATCCATCACCAAAACATCCCCTGGGAGGCAGATGGAAGGAGAGGTCGGTCAGGGGGTGGTTCTGCAACACCCAACACTGCCCTCCTGTCCTCTGCTCCACCATGGATTCAGCAGTGCCTTCTTCCCAGGGAGATACAGAGCCAGATCCCTGAGTTCTCTCTCCATTTCATGGGACAGAAGGGAAAAACAAAGAAAAAAAAAGAAAACAATCTTCTACAATATTAGAAAGAGCAAAGGAAAAGAGCAAAAGCTTCTCCCTACAC